TAATTTATATATAGGGTCTTAAATACTGGTAAAAACAGTCAATACAGACATACTATTGATCACTGCTTGCAGTATCACAAAATAATCACTATGATTAAGGCTCTAGTATTACTTATCATTTCTACCAGCCTTTTTCTTGAATAAAACAGGTGGTATTACTATAGTAACAAATTCTTACAGTACTACAGGTACTATTTAATTTCAATACGAAAATTTTGAATAAGGTCCCAGATACTATAAGCAGGGCCAATAGTAAAAGCTGATAATTCAAATATCATACCAATATTTTAACTGTATAAAAGTGATAAAATTGATTTTATTACATATAAATAAAATTCTAATATTATACAATCAACTTTGTCAAAAAAAAAAAAACTGAATTTAGAAAATCTAACTGTTTTATTTCAGCACTGGTTCTAAGAAACAAAGATTTAATTAGCGTTTAAAATATAATATACATATATACATCTATGCTTTATAGTATACTTATTATAAAAAATAAACTAAAATATTCTGACTTCTACTGCAAAAAATCTACATCGTAAATTGCTAGTGGTAGAATATAGGCAGAATATTTTATACCTGATCAGTATATCTATAGCTACCAAACTCTAAAATTGATTTTTATTAATATACTATACTAAATAAATCATTATCAAAATTGCCGTAACAAACTATAAAAACAAAAAATCCTGTAATTATCGGCATGTTTATCGCTGTTTTCGAAATAGCAAATAAATTTTTTTTGGTAGATACACATACTTGATTATCTTAGCACGTCTGATGCCTAATTTATATAATAATAATTATACTGCATAACTATTGTTTCAACAATTGCATCAGTCTTCAATCAACGTACTAAGGTAATCAAGTATTCATGTGTTCATGTGTCCATGTGTTCACCAAAAAAAAAATTTATTTGCCATTTTCAACTATTTCGAAAACAGCGATAAATGAATTAGTTCAATATAAAGATTCGAAAAAAAAAAAAGTATTCAAATAAGTTATTGCAGATCATTACTCGGACTTAATTATGTGTATCACTAGTGAAAACTTACCCAAGAATTTAATAATTATCACATAATTATGTGGCCACATGATAACACACTAGTCTAGCAATTAATTGCAAATCTGATCAACTAAACGAACTAAACGATTGAGCTCTAAGAATGTAATTATGTACACGAACCTTTATTCTTTTCAAATAATTACAATTAAACTATACAATTACACATGAATGCCAAGAAACTAAACATAGTAATGAAATAAAGATACTTATTCTTCAGAGTTAACACCATTAATTCATTTTTAATAAACTTATAATCATTCACCAATCTACAAGTTATCTATTACAAGCAAAATTTAAATTTTAAATCAGTTATATATATTAGTCTTTGTAATATTATTTCACCTTTAAGCTATTCAAGCCAGTAATTATATTGTTATCTATATATATTCGGCTACTAATCTTTATATTGCTATTTGGTAATTGTCAAATCAGAATTAGAAGACTTTTATATTACGTGATTGATATGATCACTCAAAATTGGAAAAGCATTCTGCATTATGCAGTCACTTATAATTTGTATATACAAAGCTATAAATTCTGAAGCCATTCTACTCATGCAGTCTTTTATCATACTATGTTCTAATTAAATTCTGTATATAAATTCGTTAATTCCATACTTAGGAGTAACAGATCACCCAGAAGTCAAAAAAAATTCTATTTAGATAGTCACTATTCCAAAGTTATTCTACTTATGCAGTCTTTTATCATGCCATGTTCTAATCAAGTTCTGTATATAAATCTGTTAATTCTATACTTGGGAGTAACAGATTGCCCCAGAAGTTAAAAATAACTATTTAGATAGTCGTTATTGTCTTTTGTCATGCTATGCTCTAATCAAGTGCTGTATATAAATCTGTTAATTCTATACTTAGGTTAATTCTCAGAGTAATAGATTAGCCCAGAAATCAAAAATAACTCTATTTAGATAATCGTTAATCATATTATATTCCTATTTAGTTATGGATACAAGTCTATTAGTTTTATACTTGGGACAATCGTTGAAGTAATGCATTATAGCAGAAATCAGAAATTACTCCACTTATGCAATCGTTTATTGTATTATACTCTAATTAGATGTCTATACAAGTTCATTAATTTCATACTTAGCTGATTATACGATAGAAAATGTTATCACGCAATTCTAATTATATAATTGGATTATTTTAATGTTTAAATGATGAGTAAGAAAAAGGAAGGTATTAAAGCTTCAATAAAAGGTCTCATATATGAATTAAAATTATAGTATATTGAAATGTATAAAAGAACATCAAATTTACCTTAACAAAACTTCAAATTTTTTTGAAGAATACTATCTTAAATAAAGAACTTGAGTGATTTTCTTATTCATATTTTATCTAGTAACCCATATAGGGCCGTTGCAGTAGAAAGGGCCGAAACTTGGAAATATATAATTTTGAGAAAATCGTGTTTGTTTTGTTCGGACTGATCCAGGTCAATCAGAAATTCAGAGATTTGATTGGTTAGCTATATCAGATAATCTCGTGATATACGAATCTTCTAAAAAGTTTTTATATATATTTCAATTTTTTATTAAGCAAATCAGTTTCCCTTTATAATCAAAAAATGTAGCCCATCTCGAAATTTATTCGAATCTTACAAAAACTCAATTTTGATTTCCAGGGGAGTTTGGGCCTTTCTACTGCAATGGCCCTATATCTTTTTATTTGTATATTGTATAATTTTTTTTTAAGTTATAAATTTCAAGATATACATAGTTAAATAAGTAAAATATCTAAATTGTTAATTAAAGTTATATATCTAAAAAAAAATCATGGTTATAGTATACTTGAAATTTAATCTACAAAAAAAAAAAAAAAAAGATATTAATGTCTAAAAAATGACAGTTTTCTTCAAAAGTCTTATACGTGGGTACTATAGAATCATATCTGCATTATAAGGTTTGGGCTAAAGCCTGGTGGGAAACCAATATAAAAACAAAACCGAAATAAAGAATCTCATAATACCTTATCACTTATTTATGCGTATTGTATATGAACTTAATGGTAAAACCTTCGTTATTACAGTTGTACCTAATAATGAAAATTCACTGAAGCTGGGCTTTCAGTGTACTTGTGATGCAATTGGAACAGATAATATTAAATCAAGTCCATCAACAGCAATTAACAAATGCTATCAAAATACTTTTAAAACAAAAACCGAATACTCTGGTTTGGCCGTAATAAGATTCGAAAACGAAAATATTATTCAATAGTTGATCAATGATGTAGTATTTTTTTCAATATTTGTTCGTATAGAAAAGCTTGCTGTGGTAATAACAAACGTTGGTGACCTAGATAAAAATAGATTCTATGATATTGGCACTAGATTTGTTTCTTCGTTCACTACATCTTATCATTATGAACAACATCTTTTTATCTTAAAAATTAAAAATCAACAATGCATTTTAAAAATTTATTTACAATTAGAGTGTATTAAAACAATTACAGGGGAAACTCCAGATGAAATTTGGAAAAAATAGAAATTCTCCAAAAATATACTAGAACTTATCTCTTCGGACTTATACATTCATTAGTTCATGAACATATAAGCAAATTGAGAAGTGAGTCACCAATATATACAGTTAGTAACTGAAAGAAAATGCAACAGCTTGAAAAAGTATTTTTTTGTCATATAAAATCACGTAAGATTCCCAATACAATGATTAATTGGCAATCTCTTTTTTATAACTGGTATGATCAAATAAGCTCGTTATTTAATTTCTACTTGTATTACAAAGCATCTACCTGACTATATATGAGTTTCAAGAAAAAGAACTACGAGCATAGCGAGCAATGTTTGTTGCTTGTGGGTGTACTAATATAATACCTATTTCAAAAAAAGAATCATCTATAGAATTTTGGAGCAAAGCCTTAAATCCTATTGCTGATAGAGAGTTATTAAAAAGTCTTTATGAAAAACTTTTTCTGACGATCCTTCAAAAAATTGAAAAAAAAACAAAATAAAAGAAAGCTACAGTAAAAAGAACCTAAATAAAGCCAGAATATAGACAAAATTAGCACAAAACGTAAG